GTAGAAATTATGCGGCTCATTTTCTAACGAGGGATCGAGCACCGCAAGACATAGAACTAATTCAGGGAGCTTGTTACGAAACCGGAAAGATATTGATGTTCCCATGCTTTGATGCTCAAACCATTCTGGAATCTCTGTTGCTGGCAAAAAAAACTCCGTGTTTCCAGCCTCATGCAGTTCCTGTTAGTCATAAATATTGTGTAAGCTTAGCAGCATTTGAGTGTAGAATATATCTATCAAACAGCATGCTAAATGCATAAAAACAGGACAAAACCTGATTCAGTAACATTCTTCTACATCGGTGAGTCATGGATGTGCATCCAAGTGCGCTGAACAAACACAAGTTTGGTGGAATCCCTCTAATTTCTCGAAGTTCTTCACATTTGTCAAGTATAATCTTCTCTAAATAGCGACATTCTTTGATGCATTCAGGAATGATTCTGAAATGATTTTCTGGCAAGATTAATGCCTTCACATTAGCAAACCAGGTGGAAACTACTAGAAAAAATTCATCTTTTAGTTCGCATTTTTCGAGATGAACACTTTGTACATTTGAAAAGCTCGTGTTTTCTTCTTCCTCATCTTCTTTAGGCAATAAACACAGTTCTGTTCCTGCAATTGAAATATCTGTCAGTTCTGGCATCGTGACAATGTTCCAATTAAGAATGGAAGTACCGTTGCTGGTCCATTCACTTGTATGCATTTGTAATCTTCGAAGCCCAGTGAGATTTGGAAATGAACTTGGGAATCTTTTTATTGGAGTTTCAAACAATGTCAATTCTTTCATATTTTCCATGTTTCCTAGCACATCTGGAAAACTCTTGAGGCTAGTACACCATGAAAGATTGAGTGTTTCAAGTGAGTTCAGCATGATTGGTGGAAAACTCCTTAGATCAAAACATCCAAAAGCACTCAAGGATTTAAGATTATTCAGTAACCCAACCGAATTGTGAATTGTGGATAAATTCAAACACCAAGCAAACGACAATTTTTCTAAATTTTGGAGACTTGATACATCAGGTATCTGTTTTAAATAATTACAATCGTCAAAATTCAAACTTGTCAAAGTCATAAACTCCTGCAACAAAATCAAAGGAAACAAGAAGCAAATCAATAAACTAAAGGTTAATTCATTAAAAGAATATAAGACCGAATTAATAATTTAAAATTGCACTTATTAACGAATAAGGAAATTAACTCAATACACTTGCCTTTCTCAATAATAAGCCAGTCAAATCAAGTGATGAAAAGCAACTATTGGGTAACTTGCATATAGCAAGTTTCTCTGGCTGAAAATCAGATGGTAAATCCTCTGAAGGATATTTATGCCATTCCAATACCCTTAAACTATTTGGAAGATGATTGGGGCCTTGAGAAAAACAACCATTCTTGATAATAAGAGTTTTTAGACTTTGCATCTTCTTGAAGGCATCTCCATCCCATTTTACTTCTTCATTTCCAGAAAAGGGAAATTCTAGAAATATGATTTCAATTTTATTGGATCCCTTAAAACATAAACAAAAAAATAAAAATAAATCAACTGCAATCATAACATAGCATTTCAAGAGAGTACCAGAAACTCACTTTGCAAGTACACTTCCTTTAACACACATAGTTATGGATTAAATTTTCCCAAAATAGTATTAAAACAATATTTTATTATTAAGTGCATGAGTTATTTTATGATTGTTTTGCTTAAAATAATAGCGTTTTAATCTTATTATTTTATTTGCAACCAATCGACTTTCATAATTGGATTACTATTTAGCTAAATTTTAAATACATATTATTGATTCATGAAAATATTTAAGTTTAATTTATTTTCTTAAATTTATATAAATAACTAACATTAGTCAGCATATAATGAATTATTTTTCCACTCTTTGTTTACGTTATTATTTCTAAGAGATAGTCAAAGAAAACATAATATAAGATAGACAACGAGTTAAAATTTATACTTTGAAATTGAAAGTTTATCCTTATTTACACATGTTAAACTATATTTATCTTGATTTGGAAGAAAAATTCTCAAAACACAGTGATGATGATTATCCTAGTTAATTTCTTAGGCAAAACGCTGTTCTCGATGGTCACTGTTTCTATTACTACTAGGCATCTTTTCATTAGCAAATTGTTAATGCTTAACTTGATTGCTATATACGTTATTAGTAAATTATTTTATTCGCTGATTGTGAGAGCTATGAATATCATACTTTTAGAAATTGAAATTGAACATTTATTTTTTCATGAATAAATAGTTTATCTCATATGTATATGAAGCGAAAAATAAAAACAATTATGTGTGAGCAAATAATAGTTTAAAGGAATAAATTAAGATTCAAGATATAAACCAAACAATCTACATATGTATTGCTCACCTTACAGTGCTTTAAAATATGAACAATATCTTCATGAAACCATACTCTACTGCGTTTTTCGGGCTTTATCGGTGATTCTTGACGAACAATTTCCCTACCCATATCTTCTATTAAGTCATGTAGATGTAGTGTCATGTCATCATACCCAAATTTATTACTAATCTTAATGAGAGATTTATCTACCAAAACTTGAATATGATGAGTCAGGTTATAACCGTGATGAGCTTGAAGGATATCTTTTACCTCTGCCAAGTCATATCCCTTGAAGCAACAAGCAACATCAAGAAAAACTCTCTTTTCTTCTTCCTCCAAGGGATCAAAGCTTATTTTAAGTATCTCTAGGATTTTGTGATTAGGAATTCTTTCATATTGATTTATAGCAGAATCCCATGCTTCTATACTTTTTCCACACAAATTAGAACCTATTACTTCCAAAGCCAATGGAAGTCCAGAAGCATAAGTTACTACACGATTCAAGATATCCACATACCTTGTATCAACATTTTCTGATTTAAATGCTTTCCAACTAAGCAATCGAAGAGCATCTTCCTTGTTCAAAGCCTTCACCTCATATGTTGTTTTAACATCATGGCTTGCTAACAACTGTTGGTCCCTAGTTGTGATGATAACTCTGCTGCCAGGACCAAACCATTCAGGTCTTCCCATAATTGCTTGTAATTGCTCTTGCTTGTCAACATCATCCAAAATCAATAGAACCTTCTTTCGCCGCAGCCTCTGTTGTATCATTGACATTCCTTGTTTGATACTTGTTAACTTTATTTTTTTCACTCCAACTATTTCACAAAGAAGGATGCTTTGGACATGTTGTAATCCATGTTTCTCTGAATTTTCTCTCACGTTTTCAAGAAAACATAAACCCTCAAAACGGTCAGCAATTGAGTTATAAACTGCTAGAGCAAGTGTTGTTTTACCAACTCCACCAATTCCATGGATCCCTACCATGTGCACTCCATCATCAGACCCAACATCTAGAAGCGAATTCAGTGTCAACACTTGGGATTCCAATCCAACTGGGTAATCAGCAACATGTAAAGGAACACGATTAATCTTTCTAGACACCTCTTCAACGATCTTTGCAATAACCTCGTGCTCATATCCATCCCTACACAATAAGAAAAGTTTGTATCATGTGACACAAATGCATCATGTCGATGCTTATTCTTTGTTACAATTCAAATTGAAAAAATTAGGCAAATGAAAACTAAAACTGAAACCAACCCATGTTTGTAATGACTTCCGGATAAGTTAGCTGTTTGATTAAGGGCTATCTTCCATTTCTTCAACCTCTCCGTGTTACCCTTCAACTTTTCCTTGTTTTTCTTGAACCTCGCTTCATGCTTAGCCAATGCTTCGCCGTAAGACCCAATCTGATGTCGTACGTGAGAAGGGTCAACGTTGTAGAAAACCGGCAAAACCAATCGACCCTTCTCCTTAATACAGTCTATGATGGTGACAAGTTCGTCTAGGCAAAAAGAAGAAGAAGCATAGTTCACAGAGAAGATGGGGATCGCAATTCTGGATTCCTGAATGGCATTGACAAGTGATGGTGTAATTTCATCCCCTCCACGAATCTCTTCATCATCAATGAATGTATGAATTCCTTTGTCACATAGAGCTTTGTAAAGATTACCGGTAAAACCATAACGAGTATCAGAACCTCTGAAGCTGAGAAACACATCATAGGTGAATGCATAGCTGAAGATAGAGAAAGGTGAAGACCCATCCATAGTAATTGAGAAGAAAGGTTAGGGAGAGTTTGGAATATGGTGAGAGTGTTTGGGTCGTCTGAAATTGCAAACAATAATGGAGGACTTTACATCGTACCAAAGACCAAGAGTGAATTTTCCATGCAATATTTAATATTTTAAATAAAAAATAAGTTTACCATCTTAAAATTTAATATTTTAAAACAATTTAGAAGTAAATATTATAATTATTAATAAAAAATGTTTATATTCTATTAAACAAAATAATATAAAGATATACTTTTTTAATTAAAAATAAATTATAAAAAATCCAAAATTTAAATTAAATTAAATTTAAAAATAAATATTGGATATAAAAGATTACTTAACGTGATAGAAAAGAAAATTAACTTTTATTTAAGAACTCTTAAAATTGTTTTTGTTCAAAAGTTAATATTCAAAATTATATACAAAAGTTTGACAATAGGTTAAATTTTAATTGTTGTTTTCATTCAAAGATACGTTTTAAAGTACCCATAATGTATTGTACATTGTCTTTTTTAATTTTTAAAAGATATTTATAAAAAATATATAAATAAAATAATTTATTTAACTAGGATAATTTTTGCCACATATAGTGTGTATATTACCCAAGTCAAGAATGACATTAAATAAAAATATTCTTTAAAATAATTTCAATTAAGTACTGTATGTCTATAGTGATACTCACAAATAAAAAAAAAAGAAAAAAATAGCCAAAGAGCCTTGTTTAAGGTATAAGTCTAAATCTTTTTAATAACATTGATTCACAGAAACATAAACAACTTCAACTGCTCAATCTTCTTCCAAACCAAATCAGACAAAATTGGCCCAAAAAATAAAAATATCATTTAGTAAGAAACAGGGCAACTAAACATTAGTGCTGTCCATTATCTGCATTTGATGCCAAAGACCATGAATTTTCATTCACATGATCATCCAATGATTGCATTGCTGGAGTAGGAAGAAATGAGAAAACACTACGTGCCCAATTCTTCACATGTGACAAAAAACCTGTTCCTTGTTGCTGCTGCACAATTTGTGTCTCAGAAACTTGCGAGTCCACAAATCTATGCTTTTTCCGCAGCTGATGGTGCTGTGATTCTGAGGTATCAAGATCATCATCTAATTTTCTCTTTCCACGAGGATCAATGAATTGAATATCCTCCATATCATATTCCTCTTTGCATACATGCATTCCGCCTAGTATCTTACGTGACATTCCACTATCATCAACAACACTTATCTCTGCATGGTTCCATTGGTTTAGAAGTTCATGTTCATAAGTCATCTTCCCGAAATGAAGGAGATATATATGATCTTGTTTAATATAATCAATTCCAGGTATATAGACAGGTTCTCTGATGCCATTGATTATCTGGACAAATTTAAGGTTCTCATTTCTCACTGCGGGTCCAAGTACCACAAGACAGAAAACTAATCGAGGGATCCTGTTACGAAACCGGAAAGATATTGATGTTCCCATGCTTTGGGGCTCAAACCAGTTTGGAATCTCTGATCCTGGTAAACTAAAATTATTTATAGTGCTTGGGTAACAGTCATCTGGAAAAATAGTCTTTCTTGCCACATACAGTTCCTGTTAGTCATAAACAATTCACAAGTTTATCAGAGTGGAATGCAGAATATCAAACATCAAGTCTAATGAATGAAAGCAAGAAAAAACCTGGTTCAGTAACTTGCTTCTGCACGAGGGAGTCATGGATGTGCATCCAATTGCATTGAATATTTTCAAGTTCGGTGGAATCCCTTCAATTTCTTGAAGATGTTTGCAGTTGTGAAGATAAAGCTCATTTAAAAAGAAACATTCTTTGATGCACTCAGGAATGATTACGAAATCATTTTCTGGCAGGATTAATGACCTCACTTTAGGAAACCACGCGTTAACTAACAGAAAAAAATCATCTGTTAGATTGCATCTTTGCATACAAATTGTCTCTACGTTTGAAGAGCTCACTTTTTCTTCCCCCTCATCTTCTTTGTTATGCACTATGCACCCTTCGATTCCCGTAATTGAAATGAGTGACAGTTTTGGCATTGTGACAATGTCCCGACGGAGAAGGGGAGCAACAACATCGGAGGTCGAACATGAAGTCACTATTAAAGTTTGAAGCCCAGTAAGATTTATAAATGAACGTGGGAACCTTTTTATCGGAGACTCAAGCAAGAGCAATTCTGTCATATTTTCCATCTTTACTGATATTTCGGGAAAGCTCTCAAGGCTAAGACAATGTGAAAGATCGAGAGTTTCAAGTGAGGTTAAGTTGAGTGGGGGGAAACACCTAAGCCTCTTGCATCCCCACGCATTCAAGAATTTAAGATTGTTTAGTAACCCAACGGAGTCGTGAATCCTACATAAATTGCTACAATGTTGAAACGACAACTTTTCTAAAATTTGGAGACCAGATACATTAGCTATCACATTGTAAAGGCCATGAAGAAGTAATTAAACTATCAATTCTCCATCTCTTAAGTGTTTTACTAAAACTTTTTTAACTATCATTTTTCAACTATTTCAACTATCTTATTCATTACCTACACTATAAACCCATAAGTGGCATCAGCGTTACATTTAGTCATCTATTGGATGTAAAAATATTACTATACTATTCCAAAATTAAAATAAACTACTTCCAAAAATTTTATAATTCATGGCTACCACAACTCAACCATCGTCTCTTCTCATCCCCATTTTCAATTGCAAAAATTATGATTTTTAAGGCACAAATATAAAGACATATTTTACATTCCAAGATTAGTGGGATATTGTAAAAGAAGGATTCACTATATCAACAGACATATAATCCCTTACTACAACTTAAAAAAAAGAACACTTGAAGACTTTGTTTACTCTACAACAAATTGTGACTGGTCCAATTTTTTCAAGAATAATGAGTGCTATAAAAGCCAAAGAAACATGAAGTACACTGCAGGAGAAATTTGAAAGAAGTGAAAATGTACGCACTATAAAACTCCAAGCTCTATGGTGAGAGTTTGAATTACTAAAAATGAAAGAGTCTGACATCGTAAATGCCTATTATTCCAAAATAAAAGAAATAGTTAACCAAATGAGAGTTTACGGGAAATTTTTTTTTGAAAAAAAGGTTGTTGAGAAATTACTAATCATAGTTTCCCATAGATATAATCCAATTGTGACTACTATTGAGCAAACAAATGATCTATCTACTCTATTAGTGACAGAGTTGGTAGGTCCCTTGAAACTTATGAGCAAAGGTTGAAAAGGCATGATGAGAACTCAATAGAAAATGTCTTTCAATCAAAGCTCAAATTATAGTCTCAGAATAAAGGGAATGAAGGAAGACAGAATAATGGAGAAACTTCTAGAAACAAATAAAATTCTAGAAATTTCTCTAGAAACAATCAAGATAAATATCCTCCATGCAGCATCTGTAAGAGGATAAATCATGCTGAAGAAGAATGTTGGTATAGTGGAAAACCACAATGTCGATACTGCAAGAAATTTGAACATGTGGAAAAGTATTGTCACAACAAAAACAAGTATCAAGCAAATTTCGTTGAAGAGTATGATCGAGAACCATATCTTTCTATGCTACCCAAGATTCCAGCACTGAAGAGAGCATAAATTGCTACTTGCATGGCGGTTGTAGATCACATGCCCAAAGATATAATCATCTTCAATGATATCGACGAATCCATCAAAGTGAAAGTTCAAATGGAGAACGGTACTATCGCTGAGTCAAAAGGCAAAGGCACAGTTATGGTGAAGACAAAAAAAGGTATGAGACTTATTACTAATGTCTTACTAGTCCCTAACCTCAAGGAAAATCTCTTAAGTATTGGCCAAATGATAGAAAAAGGTTATTCTCTCAACTTCAAAGGGGACACATATAAGATATATAATAGTAAAAAGTAAGAGATTGGCCAAATAAAGGTGGAGAAAAGAAACAAAAGTTTTCTAATAAGCTTTCAACAAAGCACTAACATTGTCATGAAAGTAGAAGTTGATACTTTACGAATTTAGCATTGAAGATTTGACCACTTCAATACTCATGCCTTAAAATTGTTATATCAAAAGAATATGATGAAGGATCTTCCATATCTTGAAAAAAATAATGAAACTTGTGAAGGATGTCTCCTTGGCAAACAACATCAACTACCGTTTTCTACTAGAAAAGCTTGGAGAGCAAAAGACTTATTGGAGCTTACCATACAGATATTTATGGACCAAGGCGGACACCATTACTTCATAATAACAGGTATTTTATCCTTTTTACCGATAAATGTAACATCCTGAATTTTGTAATATTAATTATTGTTATTTATATAAATCTAAATGCGTATATATGTGTGTATAAGTGTAAATGAATGTTATAAATTTGCATTGAATGCATAACAATGATATTTTGTGGGTAATGAGCATGAATGTGTGTGTGTGTGTATGCATGACTGCATAGGGCTAAAAATGGGCTTAGTGCCGAAGTGCAGGGTGTAATACTGGGTTGTCCTTGCTGTAGTGAGATGATTCTCGCTGTAGCGAGAGAGCCCTGGAAGGAAGGACCAAAACTTTCGCCTTCTCGCTGTAGCGAAAGACGTCTCGCTATAGCAATAGAGCGATAGTTTAAAGTGCATTTCTGGGTGCAGTCTCGCTGTAGCGAGATTCTGCAGAAATCAGAGTGCAGTTTCGTCTGAGATTTTCGTTGTGGCGACAGAGGACGTTGCTGTAGCGAGAGATGCCTCACTGCAGCGAGAATTTCTCGCTGTAGCGAGAGTGTCGCGACCTGAGGGGTTTTAAAAGGGGGTTTAGGGATTTGAGATTCATTTCTCAAATTCTCTCCCAAATCTCTTCAATCCTCTCGATCCGAAGCCTTATTCCACCGATTAATTGCCTCCAAAGCCGTTCGGGAGTTTGATTGAAGGTTGAATCCATGTGGAGAACGCTTGGAGGTGAGTTTTAATAGTTAGGGTTTCAATTTTTCACCCCTTTCTCTATTTTCATGGTTTTCCTGAGTTCTCATGGAATTTCTCCATGTGTTTAGGACGAAATCCATGAGGGGGAGCACTTTTTGGTAGATTTAGTGTGTGGGTCTTCGATCCGAAGTAAGAGGAGACTCTACCCTATCTCAATGTGTTGTAATTCTTGTGTGTTTTGTTGATTAATGCACTGTGGATGAGATAGGGAGTAGAAATTATGTGTTTGATGGAAATCGGTGTGCAATGTGATGTGTGCTGGAATAGTTAGGCCCTGTGGGAGAAATTGTGTGTGGTGGAATGCCATTGATTGATGAATTAATGATATTGTGAACAAATTGGGCTATGTGCTGTGTAATGTGAATTGAATATAGGCTGTGTGCTGTGTGCAAGCATAAATATTGCGTGTGTGAATAAAATGTATATGAATAAAATGTATGTGAATGGGGCGTGTTAGCGCCGTTGTAATGTGCTGTGAATAGTTCAGCGATACACTAGGGGTGTGGAATATGAGGACGGTAGAAATACTTTGGGGAGGAGAGAATGATGTAGTGACACCGACTGTGGAACGAGTGCACCACGGGCTACATACTCTTTTTCCGACTAGATCTTTGACCACTACCTTTGCTGAGCGACCCGTGACTGCCCACGTGGTATCCGTGAGGCGGGGGTAACTGGTGACAATTCATGGTGTGAATTTGTGATCACAGTGCCATAGTGAGCATGGCTGGCGTGCACATGCACGAGGATTGTTGTCGTTATTTGTATTTATGAATGTGAAATGTTATTGGTGCCGTAAGTGCACCGATGTGGAATTAGAATGAACCATGTATTGATACTGTTTGTGTTATATCTGTGCAAAGGTATTGAAATGTATTGGAGGTGAGACTCTATGATAAATTGTGTGCTTTTGAGTAGTGTAAAGTACTCACCCTTACATTTATTTTTCAGGTAATCAAGACAATCAGCACCGGACTCAGTGAAGGGACGGATGGACTGCTATAGGACCTAGATTTTAATTTGAAATTGTTGTAACTGAACTAGTCCTGTAGCAGTTATTTCGAAATATTTTATGAAAATTTGGTTATCCAATTTGTGAAATTATTATTCAATTGAAATTAAAATTAAGGTGTTACAATGAATTTTCTAGAATGACTTGGGTCTACTTTATCAAAGCAAAATCAAAAGTCTTTAGAATATTCAAGAAGTTTAAGGCCCTTATCGAGAAGCAAAGTGGTAAACAAATAAAAGTATTAAGAAGTGATCGTGGCAAAGAGTATACCTCTCAAGAGTTTGATAAATTCTGTAAGGATGAAGGCATTCAATGACAACTTACCGTCGCATATACCCCATAGAAAAATAGAGTAACTGAAAGGAAAAATTGCACATTAATGGAGATGACTAGATCCATGCTGAAGGAGAAAGAATTACTAAATACCTTCTGGGCTGAAGTAGTTTACACTACTGTCTATATACTTAACAGATGCCCAACTAAGGTTGTCTAAGATAAAATCCCAATTGAAGCTTGGAAGGGACAAAAACCATCAACAAAACACCTCAGGATTTTTGGATTGATTTGCTACATACACATTCCAGAAGAGAAGACACACAAACTAGAAGACAAAACCATATGAGGTATCTTCTTGGAGTATAACACACAATCGAAAGGATGTCGAGTCTACAACTTACAAACCAAAAAGCTCACTATTAGTCGGAATGTTGAATTTGATGAAAATGCTGCTTGAAATTGAAAAAAGATGAAAAGGTTCAGAAAAATATTTTCATACCGATTATTTTTCATAAAATAAGGATTATTCTACATATAATCACATATATGACAAGATTTATGAGAATACAAGTAATAAACATAACAAAATGATAAAGTAGAGCCCCCTTATCTCAAAACAGAGCTTTTGCAAAGATTTAACTCTAAAACGGAGTTTTTCCTAAGAACACTATGAACATCTATAAGAAAAAAAGAAGAAGAGAAACAAATGGTAAATCTAACTTTAAATTTTGAGAAACTTACTTGAAATCCCTTAGAATGGATGTAGAATCACAAATCTGAAGAGAAATAGTGAGAGAAAATAGTGAGATATAGCCTTGAAACCCTTGAGAACCTTGGATAGGAGTGAAAAAAATGAAAATTTTGTGCGAAACCCCCTTTTTTATAGAAATTTTTTGAAATTTACTGTTTACCGCCTTACTATTTACGCCAGAAACACTGTTTACGGTCACTATTCATGGCAAAAATACTGTGCGCATGTACTGTACGTGTACGTGACGTCAGCATGACATCACTGATGATGTCAACATCTTTTTTTATATAATTTTTTAATATAAATTCCATCCAAATCTATTCTAATTATACTTTAATAAATCTTATTTTATTTAAATCAAAATGCAAGATGTTACATAGATGATCTTATTTGCACAAGGAACAATGTGGAGATAATCGCTAAGTGCAAAGAAGATATGATAAAGACCTTCGAAGTGACTGATCTTGGCTTGATGAACTACTTTCTTGGAATAGAGGTAAAACAAAAGAAAGAATGAATATTTATCTCACAAAAGAAATACGTTGAAGCACTACTCAAGAAATTCAAGATGAATTAATGTAAGATTGTTAGCACTCCACTAATGACAAATGAGAAATTAAAGAAAAATGATGGAGCACCAGAAATTGATGCATCATGCTACAAAAGCTTGATTGGAAGCTTACTATGTCTCATAGCCACACGACCAGACATAATGTACGCTATAAGTCTTCTTTCAAGATTCATGCAAAGTTCAAGCCAAATTCACTTTGGAACAACAACAAAAATCCTAGGATACCTACAAGGCACAAAGGAGTATGATATATAGTACTTAACTATAAGCAACTCAAAACTACTTAACTACACATGAAGAGCATGTTTGGTTATGCCTGTTCACTAGGATTAGGAACAATCTCGTGGACTTTGAAGAAGCAAGCAACAGTTGCAAAATCAATAGCAGAAGCGAAATATATGGCAGTTACTAAGACTACAAGTCAAACAATATGGTTATGAAGAATACTTGAAGAAATGAGAGGAAAAACAAAACAAGCCTACTACAATCTATTCCGACAACAAATCAAATATAGCAATTACAAAGAATTCAGTGCATCATAACAGAACAAAACATATAGCAATCAAATACCACTTTATTAGGAAAGTAGAAGGAACTAAAGAAATCAAGCTCGAGTACTATACAACTAAAAATCAAGTTACAGACATTTTCACTAAAGTACTACAAAGACAAAAATTTGAACAACTATGCACAATGCTTGGAGTCACAGAAATTTGCATTAAGGAGGAGTATTAGAAATTGATACAAATTTCTAGAATAGTTTAGAAAAAATACTAGAAACAATTTAAGAAAAAGCCATTTTAATCTTCTAGTTTCAAGATACTTCTAGAGATAGTTCTAAAATATTATAAATCTTCTAGTTTCAAGATAGTTTTAGAATATTGAACCACTCAAACATCATGGTGGAGGATGCCTATAAATAGGTATGATACTACATTGTAAAGGTATAAAGAAGTAATCAAACTATCAATTCTCTATCTCTTGAGTGTCTAACTAAAACTTCTTCAACTATCATTTTTTAACAATTTCAACTAACATATTTTAACTATCTTATTCATCACCTACACTATAAACCCATCAAAAATTAACTCAATGCACCTACCTTCTTTAATAATAAGCCACTCAACCCGAGTGATGAAATGCAACTCCTGTCAAATTTGCATATAGCAAGTTTGTTGGGACAAAAATGAGATGGTAAATACTCTAAAGGATATTTCCGCCATTCCAATACTCTCAAACTATTTGGAAGATGACTGGGGCCTTGAGAAAAACGACCATTTTTTATAATAAGAGTTTTCAGACTTTTCATCTTCTTCAACCCATCTCCATCCCATTTTACTTCTTCTTCTTCAGAAAATTGAAATTCTAGAAATATGATTTCAATTTTATTGGATCCCTGCAAACATCGTAGATAAATTAATTAATAAAATACATTATTTTATTAACGTAAATAAGTAGTCATTATAAATTACTTTACCCTCAGAAAGTGTGTAAATGTTATTTATTTTCTATTTATTTCTAAAAACTTAAATTAAGTAAATAAAACTAAGTATGGTAAGTATATTAAATTTACGTAAATAGAAAGTACGTAATATAAATGTGTAGTAAATCGTGATAACGGAATTCGAAAATTAAAATTGTAAACTTATTTTTAACAAGCCAATCGAGAGAGAGAGAGTCTTCAAGCTATTTGTTTTCAGTTTATTGCCATTCTTCGGTGCCTTTCAATGATTATAAAGTGAATTTAAAAAATCAAGAAATATGTAATCTTTTTAAAACAACAGTTTTCTATTTGCTCATGCATGGGATGTTCCTCTAGAATGCGTTATACATGCAAGATTAAGTTATAGAAATAATTAAAATCAACTATGGCGTGAGAAAATGGTAGTTGAAAGAAATAAATCCAAGCTTAAGATGAAAAAGCAAACCATATGCATTTGTCTTGCTCACCTCATCTTGCTCAAAAACTTGAACCACATCTTTATGGAACCATAGTCTACTACGTTTTCCAGGCTCTTTTGACGATTCACGTCGAACAATTTCCTTACCCATGTCCTCTATCAAGTCATGCAATGTCACTTTGTCACTGTAATATTCACTCACTTTTATGAGAGATCTGTCATTCAAAACTTGAATATGATGTTCCACACAGTAACCATGATGAGCATGGAGTATATCTTTGACCTCTACCAAGTCATATCCTTTGAAGCAACAAGCAATGTCGAGAAAAACATTCTTTTCTTCTTCCTCCAACGCATCAAAACTTATTTTGAGTGTCTCTAGGATTTTATTACTAGGAATTCTTTCATATTGATTTATAGCAGAATCCCATGCTTCTATACTTTTTCCACACAAATTAGAACCTATTACTTCCAAAGCCAATGGAAGACCCGAAGCATAATTTACTACCCGATTCAAGACATCAGCATAACTTGTATCAACATTTTCCGATTTAAAAGCTTTATAACTAAGCAATCGAAGAGCATCTTCCTCACTCAACGGATTCAACTCATATGTTGTATTAACATCATGACTTGCTAACAACTGTTGATCCCGAGTTGTGATGATAACTCTGCTACCAGGACCAAACCATTCAGGTCTTCCCACGATTGCTTGTAATTGATCTTGCTCGTCAACATCATCCAAAATCAACAGAACCTTCTTTCGCCCTAGCCTTTGCGATATCATTGACTTTCCTTCTTGGACACTTGTTAACACAATTTTCTTCTCCCCTCCAACTGTTCTGTTAAGAAGGATGCTTTGGAGATGCTGTAACCCATGTTTCTTTGAAGTTTCTCTCACGTTTTCAAGAAAACATGAACCATCAAAACTGTCGGCAATTGAATTATAAACAGCTAGAGCAAGTGTCGTTTTACCAACTCCTCCAATTCCATGGATGCCTACAATGTGGACTCCATCATCAGATCCCACAACAAGCAGTGAATTCACTTTTTCCATAGGAGCCTGCAGCCCCACTGGGTAATTAGCAATAGGTAAAGGAGCACGATTAATCGCTCTAGATACCTCTTCGACGATCTTCCCAATGAACTCGTGTTCATATTCATGCCTACATAGCAAGAAAAGTTTGTGAAATAATTTATAGTTCGTTACTACAGTTCAAACTCTGAAAATTACCCAAATGAAAACTACATAAACAAACTATTCGACGGTACCCGTGTTTGTAATGACGTCCGGACAAGTTAGCTGTTTGATTAAGAGCCATCTTCCATTTCTTCAACCTCTCCATGTTACCCTTCAACTTTTCCTTGTTTTTCTTGAACCTTGCTTCATGCTTAGCCAATGCTTTAGCATAAGTCCCAGTCTGATGTCGCACGTGAGAAGGGTCAACGTTATAGAAAACTGGCAAAACCAGTCGACCCTTTGCCTTAATGCAATCAGTGATGGTGACAAGTTCGTCTAAGCAAAAAGAAGAAGAAGCATAGTTGGCAGAGAAGACAGGTATGGCAATCGTGGACTCTTGAATGGCGTTGACAAGTGATGGCGTGATTTCATCCCCTCCGCGTAGCTCTTCATCATCAATGAATGTATGAATTCCTTTGTCACAGAGAGCTTTGTAGAGATTACCGGTAAAACCATGACGAGTATCAGAACCTCTGAAGCTGAGAAACACATCATAGGTGAATGCATAGCCGAAGGAAGAGGAGGGTGAAGGCAGATCCATGGGAATTGAGAAGAAAGGTTAGAGAGAGTTTGGATTATGGTAAGAGTGTTGGGTCTGAAATTTCAAACAATAATGGAGGACTTTTAAGTCGGACCAAAGACTAGGAGGGAACTTCCTTCCTGTTGTCTAAACAGGTCATTTACTTGGAGAAATGGAACATGCTGTCGTATGTTAAGTCCTTGTCTTATTTTTCTTTATCATTATTGGAAGAGGAAAATGATAATAGGTTGCCAATTTTATTGGCACAGAGAACATTAATTTACAAAGAACGTAATTGAAGAGTAAAAGAGTGAAATTAAATGAAATATTTAGACCTTACTTAACTGATGTGATGGTAATTAAACGATTTAATAAGACATGAACTTGGGAGAAGACCTCGTAATTGACAACTGTAAAGTAGGAACCGGAATTTCCACATTTTCACGTGCCTTTTTCTGACATATGCTACAAGGAAATTGGAACAGCTTTAAATACAAAGCAACAGAACCGTCCCATGTATCATAATTGAAACATGAAAATATTTTTTAATTCAGTGAATTTTCCATGCAATATTAATATTTAAAAAAATTAAAATTACTATCTTAGTATTTAATAAAGTTCAAAAATATAGAAGTAAATATTATAATTATTAATGATAAATATTATATTCTATTAAACAAAATAAAATAAAGATATACTTTTTTAATTAAAAAAATACAAAAAATTCAAATTTTAAATTAATATTAAATCAAAAGTTAAATATTTAAAATAAAAATTTACTTAACTTATTATAGAAATACTTTCATTTAAAAAAGCTCTTAAAATTGTTTTTGTTTAAAAGTTAATATTCAAAAATAATATATTAAAGTGGATTGATAGATTAAATTTTAATTGTTGTTTTCATTCAAAGATACGTTTTAAAGTACCCATATGTATTGTATATTGTCTTTTTTAATTTTTTAAAAATATTTATAAAAAATATTTAAATAAAATAATTTATTTAACTAGGATAGTTTTTGCCACATATAGGGTGTATATTACCCATGTCAAGAATGACATTAATAAAAATATTCTTAAAAAAATTAAATTATGTATTGTATGTACAGTAGAGATACTCAAAATTCAAAAAAAAAAAAAAAAAAAAAAAAGCCGAAGAGCCTTGTTTAAGGTATAGATCTAAATCTTCTTATAACATTGATTCAGCGAAACATATAAATAGCTTCAACTACAGATAAAATTGGCCAAAAAATAAAAATATCATTAAGAAACAGGGCAACTAATCATTAGTGCTGCCCATCATCTGCATTTGATGGCAAAGACCATGAATTTTCATTCACATGATCATCCAATGATTGCATTTCTGGAGTAGGAAGAAATGAGGAAACACTACGTGCCCAATTCTTCACATGTGACAAAAAACCTGTTCCTTGTTGCTGCTGCACAATTTGTGTATCAGAAACTTGCGAGTCCACAAATCTATGCTTTTTCCGCAGCTGATGGTGCTGTGATTCTGAGGTATCAAGATCATCATCTAACTTTCTCTTTATACAGGAATTGCTGAACTGAATATCCTCCATGCTACATTCCTGTTTCAGTAAATGAATTCCACCTAGTATATGGACAGGGATTTGGTCTTTAAAATGCCCCAAAACACATCTAACCTCTGCATAGTTCCATTTGTTTTCTAAAAGTGCTTGATTAAGAAATCCAAGTGTCTCCTCTTTCACATGAAAAAGATATGTATGTTTTGTTTTTATATTAAAACCTTTAAGATGTTTTTGAGCACCATTGATAATCAGGATGAATTGATACGGCTCATCTTTTAATGTGGGATACATGACAGCAAGACATAGAACTAATTCAGGAACCTTTTTACGAAACCAGAAATATATTGATGTTCCCATGCTTTGACGCTCAAACCATTCTGGAATCTCTGTTGCTGGCAAACAAAAATCAGTGTTTCTGGCCTCATGTAGTTCCTGTTAGTCATAAATAATTCACAAAATTAGTAGCATGAATGAAGGACATCAAACATCACATCAAATGCATTAAAACAGGACTAAACCTGGTTCAGTAACATGCTTCTGCATGAGGGTGTCATGGATGTGCATCTTGTTGCATTGAAACATTCCAGGTTTGGTGGAATCCCTTTGATTTCTTGAAGACGCTTGCAATAGCTCAAGTCAATTTTTTTTAAAAAGTGACATTCTTTGATACTCTCTGGAATGATTATGAAATCATTTTGCTTTAGGACTAATTCCTTCACATTAGCAAGCCACCTGGGAACTACTAGAAAAAATTCATCTGTTAGTTTGCATCTTTGGAGATGAATACTTTGCATGTTTGAAGAGCTTGCTTTTTCTTCTCCCTCATTCTCTTTACGAAATACTTCCACTTCCATTCCTTCAATTGAAATCTCAGTCAGTCCTGGCATCGTGACGTTGTTCCAATTGAGCATGAAAGTTCCATCCCAGGTCCTGTAAATATCTGAACACCCCATTCTTAATCTTGCAAGCCCAGTAAGATTTTGAAATGAAGGTGGGAGTTTTTTTATTTTAGAATCAATCAACACCAATTCTGTCAAATTTCCCATCTCTCCTAATACTTCTGGAAAACTCTCAAGACTAGCACAATTTGAAAGACTGAGCGATTCAAGTGAGGTTAACATGATTGGAGGGAAACTCTTAAGGTTGTAGCATCCATTAGAACTCAAGAATTTTAGATTATTCAGTGACCCAATGGAATCGTGAATCTTACATAAATTCTTACACCAAGCAAATGACAAATTTTCTAAATTTTGGAGACTAGAAACATTAGGTATCTCTTTTAAATATTGACACCAATCAAAATTTAAACTTGTCAAAGTTGTGAACTCCTGCAAGAAAATCAATGAACAGAACGTTAATTCATTAAAATAATATAGCAGATCAAGAACCAAATGAATAAATTTAAATTGAACTTCTACATGTATAAGGAAATTAATTCAATGCACTTGCCTTTCTCAATAAGAAACATGACGAAATGCGACTGCTAGGTAAGTTGCATATAGCAAGTTTCTTTGGACAAAAATTAGAAGGAAAATCTTCTGAAGGATATTTATTCCATTCCAATACTCTTAAATTATTTGGAAGATGATTGGGGCCTTTGGAAAAACAACCATTTTTTATAATAAGAGTTTTGAGACTTTTCATCTTCTTGAATGCATCTCCATCCCATTTTACTTCTTCATCTTCTCTTTTTCCAGAAAAGGGAAATTGTAGAATTATGATTTCAATTTGATTGGATCCCTGGAAACACAATAAATAAACAATAAAACAAGAATCAACCCGAATTATATGTGTATATTATTCAATTGATTGTTTTTTTTTAATTAATTACCTATCACATTGCTTATATATGTTTTACTATACTATTGATATGTAAAATCTAATATTATAATATATTATATATGGTTTTCCTAATGTTGGTTTAGGGACATATAATAAGAATGTATGTAGAGTAATTTTTTATTAAAAATATTAGGATATCGCAAAATTTAATACAATGATAAAATTAAATGCCACAATTTTCAATAAAAAAGTTATTATTTGTTAAATTCTTATTATGTGTCATAAACATACGTTAAAAGAAACTATATAATATACTACAATAATATAATAATAAACTAATATTCCTGTTTTAGTTTCTTAATATCATTCTTTATTTCTTTTATGTCTTATAATTTATCAAAATTATGTGATAAATTTAAAATATCAAGAAATTCGCAATCATTTTAAAGACCTTTTTTTTCTTCTATGTACCAAAACATTCCCCTAGATGTGTATGTGTCAGACTTTAATTAGCACACATTAGTTGAGAAATTTACCTGTTATAAAGATAATTAAACAACAATTATGATGTGAGCAAATAATAGTCGAAAGGAATAAATTTTCTAACCATCTATCTGTTTACTCACCTCGTTTTGCTCTAAAACTTGAACTACATCTTCATGGAACCACAATCTACTACGTTTTCCAGGCTCTTTTGGTGATTCTTGTCGAACAATTTCCTTACCCATCTCCCGTATCAAGCCATGTAGTGTAACTGTTTTATAGCAAAATCCTTTAATTTTTATGAGAGATTTGTCAATCAAAACTTGAATATGATGTTTCATGTTGTCACCATAATGAGCATGAAGTATATCTTCGACTTCTGCCAAGTCATATCCTTTGAAGCAACAAGCAATATCAAGAAAAACACACTTTTCTTCTTCCTCCAAGGCATCAAAGCTTACTTTAAGTATACCTAGGATTTTTTTGTTAGGAATCCTTTCATATTGATTTATAGCTGATTCCCATGCTTCTATGTTTTTTCCATACAAGTTGGAACCTATTACTTCCAAAGCCAATGGAAGCCCCGAAGCATAAGTTATTAAACGATCCAAGACATTGACATAACTTGGATCATTTTTTTCTGATTTAAAAGCATTCCAACTGAGCAATTGAAGGGCATCTTTTCTATTCAACTCGCTCACCTCATATGTTCTTTTAACATTGTGATGTGCTAGCAATTGTTGGTCTCGAGTTGTGATGATGACTCTACTGCCCAGACCAAACCAATTTGGTGCTCCAGCAATTGCCTGCAACTGCTCCTGATTGCAAACGTCGTCTAGAATCAAGAGAACCTTCTTTTGCTTGAGCCTGTTCTTTATTATTGAAATTCCTTCATTAACACTTGCTAACTTAATATCCTTTTCTCCAAGTGTTTTCAAAAGAACCATATTTTGGAGATATTGTAACCCATAGGTTTTTGAATTTTCTCTAGCATCTTGAAGAAAACATGAACTGTCAAACTGGTGAGCAATCAAGTTATAAACTGCTAAAGCAAGTGTTGTTTTACCCATTCCACCAGGTCCATGTATCCCTACCATGTCGGCACCTTCATCAGATTGAACATCCAAAAGGTTCTTTACTTCTAGTATTCGTGACTCTAGTCCAACTGGGTAATTTGCAACATGTAAGAGAGTACGATTAATCTTGCTAGAGACCAATTCAACAATCCTCCCAATAAACTCATACTCATATCCATCCCTGTTAGATTAGAGATCAAGTACATGTGAAGTCACTAAAATCCTCAGTTCCATATCTCAATAATGCATGTGTTGTTCAAGAAAATGAGTTCCTTTCTCTCAATATTTTTATCATTTAATCACAGTAATAATAAAAAAGATAAAAGATTGATGAGAAGGGGTACCCGTGTTTGAAGTGGTAACCAGACAAGTTAGCTACTTGATGAAGAGCCATCTTCCATTTCTCCAACTTCTCGTTGTTAGCCTTCAACTTCTTTCCATGATTTGCCAATGCTTTTCCATAATTGCCTCTTTGATGTCTCACATCACAAGGGTCAACGTTATAAAAAACTGGCAAAACCAACATATCTTTCCTATTCATGATGGTGGCAAGTTCATCTAAGCAAAAAGAAGAAGCAGCATAGCCAATAGAGAAAATGGGGATTGCAATCCGAGACCCTTCAATGGCCTTCACAAGTGACGGTGTTATTTCGTCCCCTCCTCGAAGCTTCTCATCATCAATGAAGGTATGAATGCCTTTGTCACGGAGAGCTTTGTAAAGATTACCAGTAAAACCGTAGCGAGTATCTTCCCCTCTGAAGCTGAGAAAAACATCGTAGGTATATGCACAGCTGAAGGAAGAGGAGGGTGAGTAATGGGATGGTGACACAGCCATTAGAACTGAGAAGAAAGCTTAGTGCTGTGAGAATGGATGGAGTGTTGTGTCTTCACAATCAAACGCTAAGGAAAACTTAGTTTAAGACTACCAAACTCTAGCAAACAAATTTCGACGAAGCTTCACACGTCTAGATCTTTTAAATTTCTTGGAGTTGCAAATTAAAAATAAAATAATGTAATTATATGTCGATACTGTATAATTTGATTATACAATTGCATTAAAATATTTTGTTCCCCTCTCAGATCACATGACAGTTGTGAGAGTTCCTTGTTTTTTGCAGGACAATTCGATCAAATTAAAACTTGACAGTGGAAATGGTTAATGTTTATTAGTTTAATTTATTAATTAATGCACAAAGCTATATACAAAATATTATATTTGTGATCAATATGAAACATCCAGTTTTATTTAAGATAAAAAATATATACTACTTTCTGAAGTGATTCTTTGAGATAGGCTAACAAATTCCATTTTTCTTCAAATAATGGATGTTGATGTAATTTTAGGAATGAGTGTATTGGTTGGGAAATAAGGGTAAGCTTAGTAAGTTAAAATTTGAAGATGGATTTTCTTGGAAGGGAGGGAGATAAAAACACATAACCACTCTCCCTCAGTATACACATTCTCGCCTTGGCCTCTTGTCTATCACAATTTTATCTCACTCTTTGTTGCATTTTTTTTATCTGAACAAATTTTATTTTTTTAATTTATCTTTTTAAAGTTTCAAAAAAATCTTTGTAATCCAATATATTATTTTTTCTCTTAACATATATAACTTTTGGATAAATTTTTAGAGTTAGAGATAATACTTCAAGAAAACAAGGGAGTTATCCATTGTAATTGAGCTATAGATTAAATTAATTCTAATAAGTTATCACATTTTGAAATAGTAAAAATACAATTAAAAATTTGTTAAAATTTTTAGCAAATGTATTATATTATTTGTTTGAAAATGTTTATTATTTTATTATTTGGTTTTAAAATATACTTATCTCAGATTCAGTCATATTTTATCCTCTCCGCGTAGCTCTTCATCATCAATGAAAGTATGAATTCCTTTGTCACAGAGAGCTTTGTAAATATTACCGGTAAAACCATAAAACCTCTGAAGCTGAGAAACACATCATAGGTGAATGCATAATAGCTGAACGAAGAGAAGGATGAAGGCCGATCCATGGTAATTGAGAAGAAAGGTTAGAGAGAGTTTGGAATATGGTAAGAGGGTTGGGTCGTCTGAAATTTCAAACAATAATGGAGGCCTTTACATCGTACCAAAGACCAAGAGGGAACTAACTTCCTATTTCTCATCTGTTTTTCTTTTCGGAAATTAATTCTTGAAAATACTGTTCAAATTTTTTTATTTAAAAAAAACACTCAAATTAATAATATTCTAGATTTTATACATCAACATTTGTAACGTGGAAAATTCTGTGTAAAAGAAAATGCAATCTGTAATATTGTCTATCCAAGTTATTCGCTTGGATAAATGGAACATCATGTCCTGTGTTTAGTCCTTATTTTATTTTCTTTACCTTAGGTGAGAGAGGAAAATGACAATAAGTTGCTAATTTTACTGGCACTGAGAACATATAATACATCCACAGTGTGATTATTTTAATTGTGATGTGTATGTTGAGAAGGGACGTTGTTATTAACAACTGTGAAGTAGGAACTGAACTTTCCAAGAATTTTCAGTGCCTTTTTCTGAAATTTGCTACAAGAAAATGGGAACAGCTTTAAAGCCAATAGAACCATTCCATGCATCCTTCTTTTCCAATTCTTATCCTCTGCCTGCCCCAATATCGCCCAGACTTCTGAAAATAATATTTATCATAATTGAAACATGAAAATATTTTTTAATTCATTGAATTTTCCATGCAATATTTAATATTTTAAATAAAAAATGAGTTTACCATCTTAAAATTTAATATTTTAAAACAATTTAGAAGTAAATATTAATAATTATTAATAAAAAATGTTTATATTCTATTAAAAAAATAAAGTTATACTTTTTTAATTAAAAATAAATTATAAAAAATTCAAAATTTAAATTAAATTAAATTTAAAAATAAATATTTGATATAGAAGATTACTTAAAGTCATAGAAAAGAAAATTAACTTTTATTTAAGAACTCTTAAAATTGTTTTTGTTCAAAAGTTAATATTAAAAATTATATACAAAAGTTGAACAATAGGTTAAATTTTAATTGTTGTTTTCATTCTAAGATTCGTTATAAAGTACCTATTTTTTAATTTTTAAAGAATATTTATAAAAAAATATACAAATAAAATAATTTATTTAACTAGGATAATTTTTGCCACATATAGGGTGTATATTACCCATGTCAAGAATTACATTAAATAAAAATATTCTTAAAAAAATTAAATTAAGTACTGTATGTACAGTAGAGATACACACAATTAAAAAAAAAAAAAAAAAGCCTTGTTCAAGTCTAAAACTTCTTGATAACATTGATTCAGAAAAACATATAAACAGCTTCAACTGCTCAATCTTCTTCCAAACCAAATCAGACAAAAGTGGCCAAAAAATAAAAATATCATCAAGTAAGAAACAGGGCAACTAAACATTAGTGCTGCCCATTATCTGCGTTTGATGCCAAAGACCATGAATTCTCACTCACATGATCATCCAATGATTGCATTGCTGGAGTAGGAAGAAATGAGAAAACACTGCGTGCCCAATTCTTCACATGTGACAAAAAACCTGTTTCTTGTTGCTGCTGCACAATTTTTGTCTCAGAAACTTGCGAGTCCACAAATCTATGCTTTTTCCGCAACTGATGGTGCTGTGATTCTGAGGTATCAAGATCATGATCTAATTTTCTCTTTCCACGAGGATCAATGAATTGAATATCCTCCATGTCATATTCCTGTTTGCATACATGAATTCCGCCTAGTATCTTACGTGAGATTCCACTATCGTCAAGAACACTTATCTCTGCATGGTTCCATTGGTTTAAAAGTTCATGTTCATAACTTATCATTTCGATGAGACAGTAATGAAAGAGATATATATGATCTTGTTTAATCTTATCAGTTCCAGGTAAAAAGACAGGTTTTCTGATGCCATTGATTATCTTGACAAATTGAAGCTTCTCATTTCTCACTGCGGGTCCAAGTACCACAAGACAGAAAACTAATCGAGGGATCCTGTTGCGAAACCAGAAAGATAATGATGTTCCCATGCTTTGGTGCTCAAACCATCTTGGAATCTCTGATCCTGGTAAACCAAAATTAGTTATAATGGTTGGGTAATAGTCATCTAGAAAAATAGTCTTTCTGGCCACATGCAGTTCCTGTTAGTCATAAACAATTCACAAGTTTGTCAGAGTGGAATGCAGAATATCAAACATCAAGTCTAATGGATGAAAGCAAGACAAAACCTGGTTCAGTAACTTGCTTCTGCACGAGGAAGTCATGGATGTGCATCCAGTTGCACTGAATATATTCAAGTTCGGTGGAATCCTTTCAATTTCCTGAAGAAGTTTGCAATTGTCAAGATTAAGCTTCTTTAAGAAGTAACATTCTTTGATGCACTCTGGAATGATTACGAAATCATTTCCTGGCAGGGATAATGACCTCACTTTAGGAAACCACGCGTTAACTACGAGAAAAAATTCATCTGTTAGTTTGCATCTTTCCATATTAAGTATTCGTACGTTTGAAGAGCTCTCCTTTTCTTCCTCCTCATCTTCTTTGTTATGCACTACGCACCCTCCGATTCCCTTAATTGAAATGTCAGACAGTTCTGGCATCGTGACAATGTCCCAACGGAGAAGGGGAGCAACAACATCGTAGGTCCGATTTGAATACAATATTAATCTTCGAAGCCCAGTAAGATTTATAAATGAACGTGGGAATCTTTTTATGAGAGACCCAAGCAACAGCAATTTTGTTATATTTTCCATCTTTACTGATATTTCGGGAAAGCTCTCAAGGCTACGACAACTTGTAAGATCGAGTGTTTGGAGTGAGGTTAAGTTGAGTGGGGGGAAACACCTAAGACTCTCGCATCCATTAGCACTCAAGAATTTAAGATTGTTTAGTAACCCGACGGAGTCGTGAATCCTACATATATTAAAACAATATTTAAACGACAATTTTTCTAAATTTTGGAGACCAGAAACATCAGGTATCTCCGTTAAATATTCACAATAGTCAAAATTCAAACTTGTCAAGGTCTTAAACTCCTGCAACAAAAACAAAGGGAAAAACAAGCAAATCAATAAACTAAAATTTAATTCATTATTTGAATATAACACGTCAAGAACCCAACTAATAAGTAAAAACACAAGTATAAGGAAATTAACTCAATGCACCTACCTTCTTCAATAATAAGCCACTCAACCCGAGTGATGAAATGCAACTCCTGTCCAAGTTGCATATAGCAAGTTTGTTGGGACAAAAATCAGATGGTAAATGCTCTGAAGGATATTCCTGCCATTCCAATACTCTTAAACTATTTGGAAGATGATTGGGGCATTGAGAAAAACAACCATTCTTTACTATAAGAGTTCTCAGACTTTTCATCTTCTTCAAGGCATCTCCATCCCATTTTACTTCTTCTTTGGAAAAAGTAAATTCTAGAAATATGATTTCAGTTTTATTGGATCCCTGCCAACATCGTAGATAAATTAAATTAATAAAATACAAATAGACCAAAATTTACGTAAATAGTAAGTACGTAATATAATAAGTGTAAGTAAATTGTGATAACGGAAGTAATATTCACCCTTCGAAAATTAAAATTCTAAACTTATTTTTACCAAGCCAATCGAGAGAAAGAGAGTCTTCAAGCTAAACAATCAAGAAATATGTAATATTTTAAAACAACAATTTTCTATTTGCTCATCCATGGGATGTTCCTCTAGTATGCGTTATACATGCAAGATTAAGTAGAGAAATTTACTAGTTATAAAGAGAATTAAAAACAACTATGGGGGTGAGAAAACAGTAGTTGAAAGAAATAAATCAAA